GATGAGAGAGAGAAGGAGGAGGATAGTAGCAGGGAAAGAAAAATGAGAGAAAATGAAGATTCACCATCATTCTTATTGTTTCTTACCAGAAACGCAGAGATATGATGTCTTCTTCCTCCTCCCTGGTTTAGAGACGGCAGCAAGTCCAAGGAGTCGCTCCTCTGCTGGAGTGAATACCTCCTTCTGTATTGCGAGACGAACAGCAGCCTTGCCTCCACTGGTAGCCATTTTGTACGGATATTAAGAGTATCCGGAGTGAAATTCCAAAAATGTTAGTAAACCAAGCCTCTTAATAATAATGTTAATATCCTCTGGTTATTAAATCGGGCAACCCATGATAGCTTTTCCTAATATTGTTATTTTTAATGAAAACTGCCATTAATAGCAAGGGTGCTAACATACTTGAAAAATTATTTATCAAAAAAATTTTTGGAGGGCATTCATTGCCCATTTTTAATTCCAAATTTATTTTTCGGAGAATTTTTTCCATATTAACATGAAATTAAACTATAGCTAAAAATGATTCATTATTTAAGTCAATATTAATTTTCCTACATTTTCTGGTCGTGTGTTAAGCTATAAAGTATGGACAAGAACGCCACGTGATGTGCTTTGATGCATTCATATATAAAGTATGTAAAATTGTTCTCTATAGAATATAATACAGGTGCATTTATATAATATACAATAAGTGATATAAATTGTTTCTGGATAGTAAGCTAGTTTCTCTAGAAGTGACTGACTGCATGTTTCCGCCAAACTTCACTAATATACTGAGTCAATTCAGGTGGTAGCCCAGGCAAACTAGGAGGAAGGGACGGTGGAAGAGGAGGAGGAGGAACTTTATGAACACTTCCATTAATATGTGGCTGTCTTTTATTAGGTCTGACACTGCCTGTAGGCTGCACTGAATGTGGTGGCATTTGGATTTTGAGTGGGCGGGATATTTGTCGACGAGACTCGATTAATTTCTTGATAACTTCATAATGCGAGTCTCCTTCTCTCTCTGTGTTACTGTTATGATACTGATTTTGTCCTTTGCGACTCAGTCCAGTCTCTATTGGTATCATTGGAAAGTGAGTCCCAGGACTCCAGGTTGCAGAGCTAAAGTGAGAGTGGCTCTTTGAGGTGAAAGGGATAGGTGGTAGTGATGGCGTAGCTCTAGAGGAACCTTTTGATGCAGTTACTGCAGCTGGACTGCACAACTCATTAGCTGTCAAGTGAAATACTGATTGAAGCTAAAAGGATATGAAATAAAATTTATATTCATCTTTCTCCTCTCTCCCTCTCATTCAATTCTTTCATACTTTGTTTGCTTCACTATTACTGCTTTGTGTAGTCAGACTTTGCGATTTCAATCTTGCCTGCATGCAACATCAAAGCAACATTCAAATATCTAATGACAAAGATACCTTCTCTTGTCTCTCTTTTTGTCTCTCTTCTGAGAACATTGGTATTCCTCCATTGGACCGATTAGCATATTTATTAATGAACCTCCAACTGTGGAGTGGATGTGAAGCCTATAAGTTTCATGTAGCAGGGATATGCAAAAATATTAATTCATTGCATACTCTTTGCAGTCTTGGTGGTGCACTGTTGATCTGTTTGCTGGTCTCCTTTTCCTTTTCATCTCCAGTTTTATCACTTTTCTCTTTGTCTTGTACAGCATTGTCTTTATTTTGCTACATAATAATAATAATAATAATAATAATATTGATACAAAATTGTTTCAAAACCGGTTTTCCTGACCTGTTTGACAGGCTTGGGTTTGGGTTCAGAAGGGGAAGTCAACTGTGAGCTGTTTGTATGATGATGGTTGCTAAGTACAGGAGGGGGAGGAGGAGGAGGAGGAGGAGGCTCTTGATGTCTCTTGTGTTTTTTGCGAACTTGACGAGTCTATAATAATAAATAATTAATCTACTAATAATTATTAATGATTATTCTTATTGAAAATTCATTACTATGGCCATAACTCAAAAAATATTTGTCAGAATTAGTTCACACTTTTTAAATAGTATAAATACATCGTTATGTATCAAAAAATGTAATAAAAATTTGGGGTGATTTCGGAACCATTTTTTGGAAAAAACCATAGGCTATAGCCCTTGGGTATTTTTTCAAAAATTGATTCATTTTTAAAATGGCCATAACTCAAAAATTTGAGCTTGGAATCGGCTCAAACTTTCTACATAGCATAAATACATCAATACCTTATGCTTAGTTTTATACTTAAAATCGTCATCTTCACTGTCAGATCCACTTGTACTGAATAAAAACAAAGTAATATACATGTGCATCAATTCAATGTTTTTTTAATGTACATGCAACAGTGGTGCTAATGTACCTAGACTCTCTTTCTAATTCTTTCATTGAAGTTCCGTGAAACAGTCTCAAACATTTAGACATTTGTTGTCGCACTCTTCTCTTTCTCTCAACGCTGGCCTCCTCTGCAATTGTCACCAGGTCAGGAAGAGCATGATCCTTAGAACTATCAGCTGTCTTTTCCTCTGGATCAAGTTGCTGCAGATAATACTCAGCTATGCGACAGTGGACTTTATATTGATAGCTACAATAGTTTTAAAAATATAATAATAATAATGACTGCAGCATATTGCAGCAAAACTACAGAAAACTATAAATACCTTGCACTTTTAAGATAATGCTGCATTTTTAATAGCATCTCACACAGTTCTCTTCCACTGTCAATGAGGTCTTGTTGATTAAAATGAAGAGGAGTAGGTCTAATTGTTACAATAAAATTAATAATTAAATATTAATTCGAAAGTCATTACCTTGTCAGGTTAGTTCCACAAAACGAGGCTTCCATTGTAAAGCTGTTAGCCACACCCATTCTCCACAAGCTAACACGCCCAGTCGACTCCTTGCATCGCTGAACTGCAAACTTACAAGATTTGAATGAAAATTTTTCTTTTGACTAGAAAAAAATTAGTAAAGCAAAACTTGAATATGTATGCATGCACATACTATTTGTGATAAAAGCCATGGGACGACTCTCTCCTGTAAAAAATGGGTGTGGTCACATTGAGGGGTGTGGCAACCATACATAAATATGTTCTGATTTCGACTGTGACCATGCAAATCAACATAAAGTGCAATCTGAGGATAAAAAGAAAATTTTATAGTGTAATATACAAGCAAAAGATCTTCATTCTTAAACTTACTTTTCTTTCCTCCATGAAAGACTGGACCAATTTCTTTGCATGGTAAACAGTTGGAAAAAGTTTCTGCAAGAAAAAAAGATTAATAGCAAGCCAATGTTTGCTCATTGTACTTCTACAGGATTCTTATAGATTCTATTGAGATCAACACCAGTTAGTGATGTTCTGTAATTGCCAACAATAACTCCATCAGGATTCAGTATTGGAATAATCTTAAAAACGAAATGACTCCGCAAATACTAAAAGTACAAAAACCAACTGTAATAATTATACAATATTTTTGCATATTAAAATACTATGATGACATTGCATATAAAAATACAATTTTTAATAGCTACTAATGTATTTTTGTTGTTTTTAAATGATAGCAAAATATAAACATTTACTTTAGCATGTTTATTATCTGAAGTGAGATATTTCAGTATTCCATGCATCATCCACGAACTATTGGTCTCTCCTGGATGGACCCGAGCCATGAAAACCACACCCATTCTCTGAGCCCAGCACTCCTCCTGATCTAAAGCAAAAACTATAAACTTAAAAAATATACTTAACTCACTCTCAAAATCTGTGATCGTTAAGAGAGGGCAAGGGTTCCCAGCAAGAGTTTCACACAGGGTCTGAAGTAGTATAAAAATAATAAGAAGGAATCAATATTTGTTATTGCATACTTGTCTTTTTAAAATCTTCTTGGATTTTGTGTCTTCCTCCAGTTGATCAAGAAATGACAGAAGAGATGAGAAAGTGTATGGATAGCAGTGACTAAAATAAACTGTATCACCATCGTGAACAAATTCCTGTAATTAATGAATGAAAAACAATGTAAATTAAGTCATACAGAAAATTATCTATTATGATGGAATGCAAAATGAAGATAAAAGAACTCATATACTATTATTATACAGTTCATTGAAACAAAAGTATTTGACTGACCATTTTCCAGGAAAGGTAGTGGTAGGTGTTTCCTTGCTTGAGTAAAGGAGAGGAATGAGATTGTAATCTCCTGTAGGATATGTCGTAGCCAACCCTTTGCCAACTGGAATCAATCTCAGAATACATCAGTATCTTCATGCCTAGATATTTATGATTATTAAATCAAAGTAAAATTAGTATACATTTTATCATATGTGCTTACCGTGATTATAAAGGCTGTCCTTTTTGAAGAAATTAATAATGTTAAAGGTATAAGTTACATTTGGAGTCATACCAGATACTTTGAAATAAAACCTGAAAGTGAAAGAGAAAGAAGTGATGAAGTTTGAAATTATATATAAAAACAGAGTGGAAAGCTAAAATAATGGGATTGTGATTGAGAAGTATTTTTTTAATGAAATTTGTTTAAGTAATAGAAGATAAACTCAACACCAGTTCCATCAACCAACCATTGTGTGTGCTTCTCTGTGTACAAGTCAGTATTAAGGACCAGGTCATATTCATATTCATCACTATAAAAGATAAACAGAAAAAACAAAGTGTAAACGTTTACCAAACGAAGGCAAACAGTACGATACATTTAGAAACATTGCATGTACACAAACACTAATTGACATGTAGAAAATGTAATTGTAAAATGAATACTCACACTTGCATGGCTTGACGTAAATTCCCACTTTCAAATCTTGACTCAAAAGTCAGTCCCACTCTCCCTCTCTCTCCTCCTCCTCTTTTCTCTTTCTCTACTTTGCCTTCTTCTTCTACTTCCTTCCTTCTTTCAATAGGGCCTCCATTCTGACCATCATACACAACAGGGCGTGGCCCAGTATAGTTACGAAGTGGTCTCTGGTTTCCTAAGAGAGGTTCAAAGAACTCCAAAGGTACTTTCGATTGTTTCTCAATTCTTTGATGAGTCTGAGTTGGGAGAGCAATGTTACATTCAACCGGCCATTTTACCCTCTTATCTATGCCAATTCTGACCCTCTCTTCTTCAGATAGGCAGTGGTATGTCCCTGCTTTCAGTAAATGTTGCAACTGGTCAGTAGGTGCACCATATTTGCTTGTAACGTATTCATATATCGATTGGTGTCTCTGCTGTGAGACTTTTGAGGCATCCTCCTTCTCCTTTACTCTCTCCTCAGCTTCTACTGTGGAATGCTTGTTATTTGGCACCTTGATACTTGTAGCTTCTGGTATTTCTTTATCGTTTTCTAAGCTAGAAGTGGGATCCTTTTCCTCACCTGCTTCAGGTGTTATTGATCTTAAATGATCGTCTTTCTGAGGCTGCTGACGCTTTCCTCTCATAACATGCATCTCTGCAGACTCTTCTATCTCCTCTCCGTGTCGCTTCATTCCTTCCCTAGCTGCACCTTTCCCCTCTAATGCTAGCCTCAGCTGGACTTGGTATTCTATCTCTGTCTCCACAGCGGCTCTCACGGCCTCTTTCCACTCTCTGTCACTAGCAGAGTCATCCCCGGAGCTCTCGGACTCCCCGTCGTCTGCAAAGAGGTTCTGGAGACAGAGAAACTGGCCCTTTCCCCCGCAAGACTCGCTGCTGGAGTCCATTTCTTTGTCAAGACTTCTCAGCTCCACCTTGCAAGGAAAAGCAAACAAGCCCAGCCCCCCCAAAATTAAACTAGCCACGCCCTTGATTTTTACATAGCTCCACCCATTTTCAACATGGCGTCCACTAGCACTGCTAGTAGCAGCAGACTTGGCAGGGATATAGAACTCAGGGAATCAGCCAGTGATTGTAGGTTTTTCGACGAAATAATTAAAAAGTCCTTTAAATGTTATTCTGATGCTGCTGAAGATTTTATGGTAATTAAAATAAAACTTTAAATAATGATAAACAACAATGTCAATGATCAGTGTGGTTGGTTATAAAATAATGAAATTGTTAATAAATAATGCATTTGTGTGGATAAATTGACGTCTATTTTAAAGGAAATAAAAGAAAACTATGGCATAGACAGCATTGAAGATAAACTCGACACTATTGAGGAATATCTTGGTAACATTGCAGCTGTCCAGTACGAAATGGACAATATTAAAAAAGTTATTGGAGAGGGCGATAATATACTCCAAGAATATTCAGAATCGGAAGAAAACAGTGAATCTGTTATCGATATTTTTGACAGGCATCTTGAAAACTTCAAATCTCAAGATACCAGAAATGTGAAGTATGACTGAAGTTATGATCACTATGATCTTGTAAATGTGCCGTTAATAGTACTCATCCAGCTGTGATTGAGTATAAGAGGATCACAGAGAAAGAGATAGAGGGAGAAAGAGGTGCTCTGGAAGGCGATGAAGACCTAATGATGGGTCAAGTTCAGCGATCTCTAACTTGTCCTATTACACTGAAGGACCTAGAGAAACCAGTGAAGAATACGACTTGTGGACACATTTATTCAAAAGATGGTAAGGAAAGGCATATCGTACAGGAACTTTGGGTCTGATTTTGGAGCAACTTTTAAAATTCATAAAAAATCCAAACTTGATCGGAATCAGCTCAAACTTTCTACGCAACATAAGTACATGTATATGCATCAGGAAATGTAATAAAAATGGAGAATTCTCTCCTAGTCATTTTTGGCAAAATTTGGCCGATGACCCTGTGCTATAGTACAGGGACTTTGGCCTGATTTTGGAGCAACTTTTAAAATTCATAAAAAATCCAAACTTGATTGGAATCAGCTCAAACTTTCTACACAACATAAGTACATGTATATGCATCAGAAAATATTATAAAAATGGAGAATTGTCTCCTAGTCATTTTTGGCAAAATTTGGTCGATGATCCTGTACTATAGTACAGGGACTTTGGCCTGATTTTGGAGCAACTTTAAAAATTTATAAAAAATCCAAATTTGATTGGAATTAGCTCAAACTTTCTACACAACATAAGAACATGTATATTCATCAGAGGAATTATTAAAATGGAGATTTCTCCTAGTCATTTTTGGCGAAATTTGGCCGATGACCCTGTGCTATAGTACAGGAACTTTGGTCCAAATTTAGACATTGAAAATCCACTGATGAGAAGCTATATGAGCAATATGCCAAAGTCCTGTGGGAAACAATGCTTAAGAACATTAACAGCAAGAGTACTCTTGTTAATAGTTGGTTATATTTTGTTGCTTTTTACAGCTGTACTGGCACACGTGCGCTCCCGTCCAGCTGGCAGAGCAAAGTGTCCTGTTGGAGGTTGCCCTGAAATGATACTAGAGCACAACTTGGAGGCAGATAAAGACACAGAGAGAGCACTTAGGAGACAGAGAAAGTAAAGTAAACTAACCATTCACTTATTATCGTCTTTATTATAACATTATTGATCACTTTGATAGCATGTATGTACATGTATGTATGTATTATCAATTTCTCCAATGTTTATCTCAGTTAGTATATCAGTATGATCATTGTGAAACTGAAACTATTTGTCTAAAGTAATAATCCCCAAAACTTGAGTAAAGAGAAGCTCAATTAATAACAAAAAGGAATTCAGAGAGAAAAAGAGAAGAGAGAGAAGGGAAAGTAAAAAAAGAATCTACAATTTTTGAATTTAAAACTAACAAACTATTATTAGTTATGCTCACACTCTTCTGTGTTTTCTCCTGGTTCCACAATGGCCGTTTCTTCAACTGTGAATGTCTTTACATCATCAACTCCTTCCTTTTTATCATAGTCATACTCTTCCTCACCATCATTGGCCTGCTCTTGATAAGGATCATATGATGCGAGGAACACATCTTTTGATGTGACGTTCTGTTGAGCATGCGTTTTTCTTCTCTTTAATACTGCCAGACTCAAAAAGACATTTATTATCACGATTATTATTAGTATCACTGTAACTATCACAAAACCAGCAGTGATTGCAATAACAGTTGTGACATTGTCATCCTCAGGTTCAGTTGTACCATTAGTCACTGATGATGTAGGCTGTGTAGTTGAGTCTATTGACATTTGAGTCATTGTACTAGTCCCTGAAACTGATGTAAATGTAATCACTAGTGATTTCTCTTGAGTAGTAGTAGTGAATGTTGTACTTTCTGATGATGTGATAGAACACTTGCATTCTAGAAGATTATCATCATAGTATATAACTAACCGGTATAGCGTTGTGCAGCTTGTCATATCAACTAATGCCAAGTATAATCCAGATTTGCTTATATCGAATGATGCATTAACAGTCGTGCTGTTATCCATGTCAGCCTCAGGGAAATCTAATCCTGTATATTGATACAGACTGGTATCATTCTGGTCAACATTATCCACCGTATCAGTTTCATATATCCAAATGGAGAAACTACTATTGCTTTGTTGGCAATCCTTAGTCTGACAATTAGTTGAATATGTGACATTAATGCTTAGCTTTTCAACCCTGCTGTCACTGATGTTAATAAACTGTGTTACCAGCCAATTGGAATGTTGAGAGCGAGAGTGACAGACTGTCAAATTATGCCTGCATTCCTGATTCATGCTCATTTCTTTCCACTAAAAATGAATTATGCTAACAATAGAGATAGTATAGGAACTTACAGTTTCATTAATAGATACCCATGTACTATTCTTTCCTAAGAGATCCATTACATCATAATGATTTGTGTCCAGTAATATTGTTAGATTTGATGATGAAGTTGAATTGTAGCACTTCTCATTAGCATCATAAGGAGCAACTGACTGAGAGAGATTTGTATAAAATAAGAGCACAAGTAGACTGAGAGAGAAAGAGACCATCATTTACTGAAATTTATCTTTCAAAATTGGACTCCAATAAGAAAATGAAAACTGTCAGTGATTTATACTAGTTTATCATACTAAATACAGTTTATAGTACATGCTATTGAAGCTCTACTCCCTCTAGATCAACCTCAATACATTAATTACTAAACAAACCATTGAACTCCATTCATTGCGCAACAGTTAACATGGTCTTTCGCCAGATTTTGGAGCAACTTAAAAAATTCAATTTTGATCAGAATAGACAATAAGTTAGAAAAAATAATTTTAGACATTCTCAAGTCGTATAATGTTACTACAAACTACATGTATATTATGTAATTACTCTATCAAAATTAATTATTATTGTTGTTAATTTAGTTGTTAGAAAACTTCCCAGTATGTTGGTGTAGTAGATGGAGCAGCTGCAGTTGCAGTACCAGCAGTGTCTACTGCAATATCATCAATTTCCTCATAAAATTTTTCATTTGGATTTAAACAATTCAAGTGAGGAATTGCAGCTATTTCATTATATGCAACATTGTCCTGAGTAATAGGAGATGATAACATTGTTGTGGGTGGGCTCCTAGCAGTGGTCATTTGATATGAAGGATTAAGAGTTGAATCAATGTAGGCACTTTGCTCTTTCTTTCTCTTTTGCTTTCTTTTCCTCTTAATTACCAGCACAATCCACAACAAAGCATTTACTAACACTATGAATACTATCAGTGCAAGTGCCCCCAATGATACAGAGAGGATTAATGGTTCATTATTTACTGTTGGTAGTGTTGGATTCATAAATGAGTTGCTTCGATTATAAAGAACAGATGTTGAAAATTCCCCCTCTCCAATTTTACTAACTGCCCGAACCTAAAAAATAATTAGATTTATAGAAATTTAACCTTGCCAGTCCCACAATGCATTCACTTAGATTATTCAGTTAAGAATTCAAAGGGTTTGACCTACCAACTTACCCATATGTAATGAAACCCATTTGGAACATTAAGATCAGTCAAATCATAGCTGTTAGCTGTAGGAGGTAGTCTGACTCTAACTACAGCACTGTTTGTATCATTAAGAGGATTAGATAATACAAGATACTCAACCAGTTCAGATCCAAATAAGTTCATAGGATCAGACCATGTTAACAATGAGCCTTCTGATAGTCTCACATTCCTTGGATGTGATGGAACAGTTGGATGAGTAGTGACAGTTATAGTAACAGTTCTATTGTTATCATTAGCATTGTCTTGATCTGACACTCCATTTCTTGCCATCACTTGTATTTCATATGTTGTGAATGGAGTTAATCCCATTAGTGTGTAGTTTGTATGTACTGTACTATACTCCACAACATTGACTGAGCTGTTAATGCTGATAACATAATAAAGATCAGTTCTGCCTCCATTATAAGTAGGCTCAAGCCAGGAAATGCTAATAATAGTCTCTGTAACTGAAGCATTTGTTAAGTTCTGAGGTGAGCTAGGAGGAGCTAAATTAAAAAATATTTTCATTGTATGTTGATTAAAATTATACTCGCACTACAATATACTTACCAGTGCAGCTCACAGTGATACCTTCATGAGGTGCTCTATAATAACCAGGCAGACACTGGCAGGACACAGAACCAGGACTAGCAGAGTAGCTGTTATTAGGACAATTTTTACATTCACTGTCTCCTTTGACAGACTTATAAGTGCCTTCTTGACAAGCTATAGTAGACATACCAGAGATTATTAATATTATGGACACAGTATACAAGAACATGTGTGGCTGTGTGGCTGTGACAAAATAAACATTTATAGTTGCAAATACATTACTAAAGTAAACTATTGATGGATAACGAAGTAAAGATCAAAGTGATCAATTTTGGGCTTAATAGCCATTAACATGACTATATAGCACACTAAAATAAGCATGAATAAAAATCTGCATATACCTTGACAAAGTGTACCATTAGCTTCATATCCAGCATTACATTGACATGAAGCTGATCCAATCCATTCTCCTAATAACCTACACTTTAAACTTAAACTATTAGATGATGTAGGACTAGCATTATCAATGCAAGTAGCATTCACATTTTTATCTGGATCGAAGCCCCCTTGAGGAGCTACTGTCTCTGGATAGATAGCTTTATTCAATACTTGATAAGGACAGACATTGTAGAATACCACAATCCGATTAATGACAGTACAAGATCCTTGGTCCCATATAGCCAGATACAGGCCAGAACTAGACACAGCAAATGACTCAGAGTCAGTTATAGCTCCCTCAGCAGCAGTGTGTATTAGACGAACACCAGCATATGAATAATAAGTTATATTCCCTCTATCCATCTCATCTGGTTCATTAGTTTCAAATGTCTGCACTTCAAATGTCTGCTGCTGGGCACACTGCTGGCTTGAGCACACCAAATTCGATGAGAACGTTACATTGATTCTTAATTGACTTATTCCTGATTCACTAATGTTAATGTATTGTGTTATTAGCCAATTGCTCTGGAATGAAGATGTTCCTCCAGGGATCAGGGTAGCACAAACATTGATTCGATGTAAGCACTGTACTCCTTGATTACCTTCATACCACTACATGAGATAATAACAATAATAATAACAATCAATAGATCTTACAGAATCAACAAATTCAGCAGAACCAGGTCGACCTACTCCCCCTCTATCATAATCAATAGTCAGCCATGTCCTGTTCTCTCCTTCTGCTCCAACAAGAAGAGTTGACCTGTAGTTCTGTGAGTCCAGTAGGATCCTTTCATTAGGAAAGGTGACATTTCTTATTGGTATATCTGAACAATAAGGATCAGCATCATCAGGAGCAACACTTTGAGAAGAGACACACTGAAAGAAACTTAAACTGCCAAGCAGTAAAAGTAAAAAACAGAAAAGAGTAGACATGATATCCTGAAGTGTCCTAGTTCCAGTCAGCAAATTGTTGGGTAATACTATCAATGCCTTATGTATGACTGTTATTGTCATTAGAGCCACTATCAATAACATTACCATAGTAATAGTGTATTTTTATCATTGTGACAAGTACAAAGAACATAATAAATAATAAAAATGTTTCTTAATAATTATTATAAAATAAGTACTAGACTATCTCTTTCCTTTCCTAAAACAATGCAAGAGTCTAAAACTAAAATAAAACCAAAGAGG